GACGACCTTTAGAACCAGACTACAAGCACTACTGCTCCATCAGCTGATCAACCACAATTTTATTATGAACACCAGGTTTAAAAACAACCATACCTAAACTTTCAAAGCTTATCCTGACAGGGACTGATAAACACGGAAGCATCCTGAAAAATAATGACATTTGGAATGCCCAGATTGGACGTTAAGATTAACAGCCTGGTTTTAAACAGTAGTTAAATAGTTCATTGTAAAAACACCTATTAAATTGGCATAGTAGAGGGATGGGACAAACCAGAAATTCCTTGTTAAAACAAAAAACAAACCAAAAGAAATCAGGAACCACTTGCAAGATCTAGATTCTCCCAGACTAGCACATTTTGGTTATTTCAGCTAACCCACACGCTCTGTTTCTTCAGTTGTCTTGCAGCTGAAGCACAGTTCCTACTATAAAAGTCTCAGATTAACATAACATGCACCCCTCAAACGCCAAATATTTGTGCGATTGAGAAATAATGCTTTATGTAAAGTACTTTAAAAAGTGGTTTTGCAAGAAATCAGTAGTGAGAGGGATCTATACAGCAAGAACACGTCACTTACAGCTCTTTTAGTGACTTCAAGGTTGGAATGAATAATTGTCAATAACCTTCCAGCTTCGTAATGCTCAACTCGACTCACCTTAGGACAGTGTTACCCGTCTGACACACTCTTCTGTGTTCTCTTTCTCAAATTACATAGCAACCTGTGCCACAATCTATGTGAAGCAAATCAAAGATTCCTTCCCTCAGCCACACTTGCACTGCTTTTCAGTTTAACTGCATATACGCCACTTCTTATGTTGCAAAACTGGAAAAATTGAATTCTTTTGTCTGTCAAAACAACACTCTTCTGTTGCCTCCTCTCCCCTCCTCCCAACTATCTCTCATATTAAGATTTTTCTCCACATTCCTAATAATTCCTTTTTTAATAGTGAAGCTAACATTGTATGAAATACTGTAGGTGAAGGCACACAATAAAACGAAGAGAGATTTGCTCTATTACTCTACATTGGCCCTCATGTTTCCAAAGATACTTTTTTTAAGAAAAATAAAAATAAAAAAAACCAAACCAGGCTGAGCAGCAGCTTTCATGTAAAAGTCTGCAAAGGATGTCCAGGTCCTTTTTCCTTTGTGAATTATTGTTAAAGTCTTTTGATTTTCTAAATGTCAAGGGTTGATACGCAGGAGATGCTGCTAATAAGACAACATAACATTTTTAATCTGCATAATGCAACTGCATTTCACTCACACCAAGTTCAAGCTTGAGCCAGAGCCAAGAGCTACCTTCTCAAAGGTAACAGAAATACCTACTCGTGGTTATTCTGCCAGTCTTACTGCAATCTATTAAAAGTCTGCCTGCATAAGATTTCTGCAATATGTTGCTGATGTATATAATAAGCCATCTCTACCTGCCAAAAGTTGCCCTACACCACATGTAGCTGTCTTTCTTCTCACTATGCTAGAAAGAAATCTCAAAGAGGGGGATGAGGGGACAGCCATCACACTTTAATGAAACACACTCCTGGACAAATTCCAACATAGAGCAGTGCACAACCGGTACTGCTTCTGACAACATTAAGTTTGCAACAAATAATTTAGAAATCTTGGTATTTCTATCACAAAAGGCCCTTCCTTCTCCAGCTCGTAGCATACAACATGTTGCTACCATGCAGTAACAGGAAAGCTATTGCCTCACTCGAACCAGAAAGTCTTTATATATCAGAAAAATCTACTTACAATAAGATGATAGGACTTTCGCACCTTCGTGCCCATTACGCATTTCCACAAATAAAAAAACTCATCAGAAAACAGTTAGCCCTTTGAAATCTAATACCATTTCAACTTTTACCGTACTGCTAACCAAGAAAACGAAACTGATGCTGATGCAAAAGATAAGAGTCAAGAGACACACTTCTTGAGAAAAACAAGTGGTCAAACTAAGAGATGGGAACTGCACCTAATTCAGCATGCACTGTGGAATCTCTCTGTACAGAAAGGAAAGTAACGCAACGTAAGTAAATATTTGTGGTTTTCTTTCTCAGTTATCACAAGCCCCTAGACTTCAGAGTGCATTACCGTAATACAGCCTACAAAGAATCTTAAATGTCACACTGAAATTTCAGCTGGTGCGGGATGTTTATATAATGGTCTTTCACAACAGAAGCATATCTTTATTCCTGTAGGACAATGGTTTCATATTCATTACCAAGTGCAGTCCAAAGCATTAACTTCAAGCTACAAATTCCCCTCTGGCTTATCTCTCATGTACTTTGAGTCAGGTGTTTTCTTTTTGGCCTAAAAGCCCTCATTACTTGGGATGCTCCAGCAACCACCCACCTGATTTACTGGGTGCAGGAAGAAAAACCACAGAGTTTTATCTGCAAAATAATTTCGTATATCCACTGGGGAAAATAATTTTAAACAATGAGCAGGCTTTGCAAAAAATTGAAGAGTTTTATAACGGGTCATCTGCTTATAAGGTATCTTATAGTGACTGCTGCATAACTATTTTGAGATGCTCAGGACGTTTAGGAGACCAAATGCAGGTGAGTTCTTTCCACCTAGTTCAGCTTTACACTTCACACTGTTTGAAAGCTACAATTCCACAAGTTCTTTCAAATGGATGAACCATTTTTTCCAGGTATCAGTCAGTCTTTGCCAGAGGTGAACACATTTTTTCCAGGTATCAGTCAGTCTTTGCCATTAGAGGTGAACATTGTCAGCATTCACCCAACACCTGTGAACCACAAATACACAAATTAAGTCAATATTTTAATACACATGCTCACTGAATCTCAGCTTCTGCAATGGTTAATTCAACAAGATCGATAACGGTTTCCACACAGATTGCTGGTGAGTCACTGGCAACATGGCAGAAGTTTCCGAAAGCAAATCTGTTAATTTCTGTTCATCTGTTTTAGTATGACCACTTTTATGTAATAATATACTTGTCCAAAGATACCCATAAATTAAACTCTGACATATTAATGTATGCATTTGCTGGATTCATACACTCATCTGTTCATTGGAACATCGGTTTTTAAAATTATCATCAGCATATAATAGTCACATCCTAAATTTCTAAAATATTTTGCTTTAAACTGAGCTAGTTTGGATACAAAGCTGACAAAAAAAAATAACAAACCCAACACCAGAAAACACACAAGTAACTTCCCACTCATCTCCATTAAGGTTATTGCTGTTCAAAAGTGATTGACAAGCACACCACTCAAGTCTTTGGTTGTCAAAACAGACTGCACCAACGGTACCTGCATTTCTAAATTTCCCCTCAAAGCGTCCTGTCAAGCTGTCTGCTTTGACAGAAACTTTTCTAGGACAAGAAAGTAATAAGGACAAGAAAGTAAAGCTATTACAGGGAAAAGAAAAGGTGCCTAGCTGATAATGTCTGCTTCTATTTATATTAGCGGAAACGATAATTTCGTACCAACATTGTGTATTAATGATCTGAAGAAAGCCATGGTGCTACTGGTGAAGCTCAGAAACCATCAATAATGCACACACTCCCCTTAGGAACGCTGAGTTATTTATACAACTATGAAGTCTCCTATTAGCTTCACTGACTTCAAACACAGAAATACAGATGTTCTTAGTTGATAAAAACTAATGCCCACCAAATCCTTATAAGCCTGAAGGGGGTACAAAAAAGTAAGTTTAGGAACGTATTACTTTCTGCTTCATAGTATTGCTGAGCTATCTAACAACTCTACAGCTGCATGACATGAATTTAACAACTGCATTTCTCTTCCAAGCAGAGCCATTAGAAGATAGTGTTGCTAAACCAGTTACAATGATTAAAGCAGCTCTGCAACAGTCCAGGTTACCTTGGACCTCTTAATTTTTGCAAGGTTTTTTTTTTATTTTTTACTTCGGCCATTTTCAATAGCATAAAGACACACGCAGAAAACAGCAGCTGCCACCGAAAGGACAGAAAATTTTTCATTCATACTTGACTGAAATTAGAAAAACAAGAAAGCTACTCCAAGGGAAAAAGCATACATGCATATGGAGAAAAAAAAAATATTCCCTGTTTCTAGGGGGAAAAAAAAACAAACAACCGCACCGGTTCCCCGTTTTAAAATGGCACAGACCTCATAATGGCTTTTGAGGACAAAAACTGACAACCAGGACCTTCCCAACCACCAAAGCACGCCAAAATCCAGCTACACCAACACCGCACCCCGGCCAGAAACCTCACCCATCTTTGCCCTCTTAATCCCAACAGCTAAAACAACAAACACCAGGGTGAAAAACTAGTGAAAGTAAGCGGAGTTTCTGTTTTGTTCTACCAGGGTTTCTCCCCAGGCAGAGGGAGGCCGGGGGCCACCTCGCTCTTCCCTCAGGCACCACAGACAAAAGAGCGACAACCCGGGAGAGTGGGGGGGTGTGTGTGTGAGGAGGGGGGTGTCCCCCCTCCCCGACCGCGGGAAGAGGGGAGCTCCGGCCTTATCTCCCCTTCTCCCCTCACCATTGTTCGGTTCACTCTACCTACTGCGACACGGGGATGCGTTTTCTCTTCTTCCCGGACACGCAGAGCCCCTGGAAAAACAACAGCAGGGCGCAGGCCCCGCACAAAAGCCGCCTGGTCCCTTCCTCTGCCGTAGCCTGAGGCGATGCCGCCTCTTCCCCACACGCACACCCCCCTCCCCCTAGGCCGGACCCAAGCGCCAGGCTCTCCCAACCCCCCTCTCCGCTTCCCCCGCACCGGGAACGGCGGCCTTCGCAGCTCCGTCCCTGCCCGGGGCGCTCAGAAATCGAGCCCGGCAGAAGCCAGAGGCCTAGCGAGGTAGGCAGCGGCAACAGGCCCGACAGGCAAGTGCAGCGCCCGCCCCTCCGCCTCCCTTCCCCGGGAAGGGGAGCAGAGCCCTCCCGCCAGCGCTCCCCCCAGGGCCAACCCCATTTTTTTTCCCCGCACCCCAACTCGGCAGTGAAAAGTGGGGGGGGGGATAGAGGAGACAGCGCACTCACCACACGGGCCGGGCTCCCCGCAGCGGCCACCGCCCCCCTCAGCTGCGGCATACGGGGGCTGCCGCAGCGCCCTGCTCCTCCAGCACCCGCAGACCCCAGGGCCCCCCCAGCGCCGTCGCCCGCTGCCGCCCCTCCGCCGCCACCGCCGCCGCTGCAGCAGCGGCCATCTTGTGCGTCGGCTGCCTCCCCTCGCTGCCCGCCTGCCTCCCTGCACCGCCTCGCCGTTACCGCCCGCCCCTTCCTGCGCCCGGCCCCCGGGACAGGCGGGGCGGGACCGAGAGAAAGAGCCGAGTCACGGGCCGGAGCGCTGGGAGAGCTCGGCGGGCTGAGGGGTGGCGCCGCCGGGCGGGGGTGCAGTCCGTTCCTGTCAGGGTCGGTGTATGCTCCCCGTTGCCTTCCCTCGCCCTTTAGGGGGCTTTTTCGCTCTTCTACCTCATCTTCTCGTCACCCTCGATCACGGCGGGGCTGTGAGGCCGTTTATGCGCCTTAAGCGTAGCCTGAGGAGCTCTCCGCCTTTCCGGGGCCTCTCAAATGCCTCAACCCGCCATTTTCCCTCCCTCAGCGCCCACACAGCGAGGGGGCTTCCTCTGTTCGGGGCACACTGCGTCTTCCCCTCTTTTTCCCCACTGTGATTGCCTCACGCCATCAAACATTAAGAGCTTGGGCGTTGGTTTATTTTTTTTTTACTTAGAGGGGAGAAAATCAAGTGCTGTTCCCCATCCAGGTACACTCTAGGTGGCTGCACATGGCAAAGCCCCTGTTATGCCCGGCATGGGAAGGCACAGAGCTGGGCTTGCTGCAGGAGAAGGGCCCCCATAGATTTCTTTGCTGCACGACACTTTAATTCATCTTCAGCCTCAACCAACACTACAGGTAAGATGTGTTCGGGCCCCACCAAGCCGTCCTGTATCATGCAGTATCTAAGGGCTACAGAAAAAAAAATTTAAAGTGAAGTTATGAAATACGTTACAAGTCTTAGTGTGACTGGCTGCATTTAGTTAGCACATACTGATAGTTTTAAAATGCTTTGAGAACTAATTATTAAACATCAAGATATTTCAAAGTAGCGTTAAGCTGGTTCCTGTTTTATGAGAACATGAACTGTGGTGTCAAATGCTAAGGAATTTTCCCAATTTATTGCCAAATTTAACAACAAAAAGTGGGGTTTGGTGGCCCATTCTATTGCCCAGGTGTTTTATCAAGTGCGTATGCCCAGCTGGAGGCTCTGTAGGAGCAATGCTGACGTGAGGCCATTGGGTGAGATGCTGTGTATGGAATCACTGCACTTCTAAACATTTTATAACACTGCAAGGAGCGTGCACTGATAACACTCCAGCATTATCAGTTCAACATCTGAACTGCAGAGGGCTACATGACCTTGAGATACCATTAAAATAGTGCAATGTCAGGTCAGAAGCAATCAGGCCCAGAACCAGGGGCTTGATACAGCACCTGCAAAAGGAAGCTGGGTCATGACGTGCAGACAGAAATACGGGAACAGGTAGTAAAGCTGAACTCCTGGAAATGAGGGAAAGTTGATGTAGGGAAAGTTTAATCTTCAGCTCCTATTTCTGACTCTTGTATTGATTGCGGAGAGATTTTCCTGTTAGCTTTACAACTAATGTGGTGATAGTAGCTAAAAGCTTTCAGTTTCACTAAAGAAATTGTCTCTATTATTTAGTCTTTTCCACCAAAACAATTACGCTTAATGCTTACCAAGGATTAGTGCTTGAATAAAATGACATATTCACAGGCATTTGGGATCTTAAGAACACAGAAGGCTAAGATCTTTATAAAGACCACATTTAACTTACTATGAATTACAAAATAAGTGTAAATTGGGAAGTTTAACAAGGAAGTGTGAATCTTAAGCTTTATGAATGTTTTATTATTATTTCAAGGAGACTAACAGGAAAGATTTATTAGTGTACAAACAGAAATCTAAACCAATCAATGTTTGTAAGCATCAGAATCCTTACACAATAAAATATCTAAATGAATAATTTAATAAAGAATATCACAGCCAGATTCAGAAGTCAGGAATGATCACAGATTAGTACATTATTACATTTTTATCATTGTATTGGCATTTTAATACTTCCTACTTCCTACAATGCCCCAATGAAACATTGATACCGCTTGTTCTTAATGACTGTATAAATTATGTAAGAGTCTTTGTCCTGAAGTACAATCTTTCATATAACCAGTTGGCAAACTGCAGCATAGTTTGTTAAAAAGCCCACAAACCTGAATCATTATACTCCTATCTAATTAGTCCTCCCTCTTAGAAATGAACTACTAGGTAGTATCTCTGCATGTTGTTCTACATCAGTTTAATTATTGTCTTCATCCTATTGTTCTGATTTAAAACTGTACATGCCACAGAAATTTTTCAATCAGCAATTGCCATCTTTTGCAGATTCCTCTCCTAAATGTTATGCTAGAAAGGTGAACCTTATTGAAGTCACTAGTATCCTGTTTGGACACAGAAGCCAGCACTAGGAGCTAAAATGCTAGGTGGTTTCTGCAACCTTTGTTTAAAGTCATAGCAACTAGAAATGGTCAAGGCCCAAGGACATCCTCTTACTTCCTGGTTTATAGCAGGTGATTGTACACAGTACATTATTCTGGTGGTTTTTTCAGTCTCATTTTTAATATTCCATCTGGAGACTTCTACCACTTCCCATACTTGGTTCCTGTATATGGTTCCTATATTGCTGAAAAGTTTTCATTTTCAGGTAGCTTGTGTTATCCCTCATCAATTCATGCTGTTACCACTTAGTAAGTTGCATTACCAGTATTTACTGGTGAACAATTTTCAGTATTACAACATAGTTTGCCACAGTACTGCATTGTTTAAATTTAAAGAAATGGGATCTGAAATGACCTATGTTTCTTACTAAGTAACATTGCAAGGCAGAGTACTTTAAATCTAAAACCCGTTTTAGACCTCCATCAGAGTAACACTTTTCTAATGATTAATGTTTATTCTGGATTTTAAAAATTCAGAAGTTTCCCTCTCTTTGGGAGCTGATCCCACTAGATACCTAGATTATATTTAATGTCTGCTTTCTCCAGTTATGCAGCATTTCTTCCTGCATGACACACCAGCATATGAAATACAAAACAGTGTTTGCTTTTGGGATTACTGTTTTCATATCTCATTTCATCTTATTAAATCTGGTGTAATTTAGCTCTAGTTATTCACATTGTTCTTTTATGTTCTTAAAGACACAGGAATTTTGATTCTACAACATATTGTTATTCACATTGTTCTTTTATGTTCTTAAAAACACACAGGAATTAGTTTTGATTCTAAAACATATCGTCTCAATTTTCCAGTGCTTCTTTTTCTTTTTTTCCTTCCAAAAGGGGGTAACATGGCATGGTTCTAGGATTTTACATTTGTGGTCACCCTAGTAATGTTCTTCAGATTATACAGTAGAAATGAATCTCCATATTAGCCTGCATGACTGAGAGAAATAGGTAAAATACTAGTGTTACTGTCAAATCATATAATCTCATGATGCAATTTTTATATTACTCTTTCCATAGAAAACTGATGTAAAACTGTGGTAACAGAATAGCTGTCTTCATAAAAAAGAAACTTTTTTTGTAATGTCTTGGTAATGTTTCAGTTTGCTATTTTAGTTATCTGTGTGACCTGTAAAGCGGATAATAATGGAAAATTTCTCATTTTGAAACCTGTGGTATCAGAATGAAAGGCAAGAATTAAATATTTTTCCATCTGGCTGCAAGCATTTAAAAACATGTCCTTGTTATTTCCCACTCTTGCATATATCACATGAAATAAAAGATAACAGAAATGAAAATCTTGAGCACCTTTGTGTGCTTGACTATAACGTTAGCAAAACCTGTATTTCCTGCACTTTTATAAAATTCCACTGACAAGAGCACCAATACTCATTAAAGGCTCAAGGAGCTGGGGCTCTTTAGCCTGGACAAGTGAAGGCTGAGGGGAGACCTTATTTATGTTTACAAGTATCTAATGGGTGGGTTGAAGGATGTTGGAGCCGGACTCTTTTCAGTGGTTCCCAGTGACAGGACAAGGGGCAACGGGCACAAGCTGGAACATGGGAAGTTCCACTCAAATATGAGGAAGAACTTCTTTATGGTGAGGGTGCCAGAGCCCCGGAACGGGCTGCCAAGGGAGGTTGTGGAGTCCCCTTCTCTGGAGATCTTCAAGACCCACCTGGATGCCATCCTGAGTGATGTGCTCTGGGCAACCCTGCTTTGGCAGGGAAGTTGGACGAGGTGATCTCTAGAGGTCCCTTCCAACTCCCAACAATTCCGTGATTCCGTGAATATGCTGAATATCATCCAAGCCCATGTAATTCAGATGCAACTTTTATAACTAGTTATATATGCTTGTTTTAAAATAATAATAAGATGAAAGCAAAATAAAGCATTCCATTGTGGAAGGACATGCTCAATATCTTCACCATAACGCATAAGGTTTAGATTTCCTTTATACAACAGAAGCTTGATTGGTGTAAAGGAATGTGAAGTGCGTAAGTATAGCATTAAGATTCCTCCATGAATGCTTCTCTTTCAACCATTCAGTTTGCAGAAGCAAATAATGCTGTATAACCCACCAAAAATTATCAGATTTGTTTAAAAAATTGCAAAACTTGTTGCAGTTTTTTGATGCTATGCATAATAGATTTGCAGAATATCAGTCAGTTTTTAACATTTGTGTTTTCAGGCTGCTACGAATGCAAAAATTTATATAAAGATACCCTGTGGCTTCAGTTGCTGTGAAAAAGGAAGAAATGATAAGGAAGGTAAGAAACTTCCCTTTGATTAGAAGAAGACAAAAATTTAGGAGCATTCTGAAGTGAAAAGATTTGCAGCATAACAAGAACGAAAACCCACTCGGAGGCTGTGAGGATATTTATTAGACATTTAATATTCACTGGGCAGAGGAAGTCAAAGTCAGTACCACGTACTTGTTGTTCTGGTGCCCTCTGCTGAAATAACCATCTGTTTGTTTGGCTTCTGAATCTGCTCCCCCCTCCCCGGGTAGGGTCTAGAGCCTCTGCCAAGTGCCATATGCTGCCACCTCTTTATCTTGCACCTTAGTTCCTTGATTTATTTCCTTTTCTATTCTGTCTCAACAAAAAGCAGAAGTACGAGCCTTTATTTTCTTTCCTTCCCTCAGTGGTACTTATGTTGACATTTGTTCTTTTCTATTCCTCCATGATATTGTTGCGTCACGTTTTACAACAGCCTTTAATTGAGCTTAGCACAGTAACATATGAGTTGAGATGATAAAGAATTCAGAAAATTACATTTTATCGGAATTCCAGCTCGGGTGTGCATATAAAACCGAGAACAGCCTAAATTAGCAATGTAATTTTTGGTCCTTTCTGGCAGATTTCCTCATGTAAAGCTGGGGGAAGACGAAAGGCAGGTAGGGCAGCGCAGTCAGCATGGGTTTTCTACAGCAAGTTAGCACTCTTGTTTAGCTGCATGTAAAACCACAACCTTACTCTCACTTTGCAGGGGAAGCTAAACTGTAGAGGTTAATCAACTTTTCAGATTCATATAGCAAGCAGTGACAAGATGAGGAATAAACCCCATGCTCTGGTCTTCTGTTCCAACCACTACAGCTTTTGCATCCTCCACACTTGTGCAAGTTACAGTAATGACTTTAAACTGCTATCTGAGTAATTTTTCCAATCCAATTTCCCAGGCAGAGCACTCATTCTATAAGTAAAAAGTGGGACTGTCTTACATTTTTGTAGTCACATCACATTTCTGCAGTAAAATTAAACATGCTGATGAGTTACGCTTGCTTACTGCCACCTGTAAAGACTCAAAGTTTTGATTTGGTTTGAGAACCCCTGATACAAGACTTTCCCAGTGCATCTTCCAACAAATGGGACTATCAATTCCCACAGGAAAATAAAAGTAAAGGACCAAGTAAGCCTTAGCTAGTCCTAGTGTATGAATAACTGCATAAAGTAAGTTTAGGTGTTTTTATATTAGTGTGGATCTTGAGTAGCTGCTGCTTAGGTCTCAATTCTAGCAGTTTTTAAAGAGTTTATTGTTCCAGTAGTTGCAGAGGGACATTTTTAACATTTCACCCCTTGGTGATAATTTTAAGAAGAGACCTATAAACAAAAATCAAGAACTGTCATCAAGAATTACATCATTAATCCTAACCTTGAAAGATTTTTTTTTTTTAAATTTAATGTTCTAAGTATTACATTTATTTTTTAGTTTGGTTAAAAAGAACACCGGTTTCATAAAAAGAAGTTGGTATCTTTCATTGTTAATAAAATAATATTTTTTCAAATTTGTTGATTTTTTGGTTGAAGGCTATAGAAATGTGACATGCCGTATGACGCTGCTTACTCTTCTTTGATTCCAGCAGGTAAAGGAGGTGGCATTTACGGAAGAAGAAATAGGAAATTCACCAAAAGGAATCAGTAAATTGAATTAAAAGTAGTAACTAATAGTGGAATTAGCTCTCATTACCAGACAGGAAGAGATAGTAATTGTGGTTTGGCTGTTAACTACTTCTGATGTTATTTTTCAATATAAGCTACTGATATAATTGCTAAAGAAACAACAGTGAAAGGATCAGAACATACTGTGAGCACAGATGGAGCTTACATTGTATATACTTTTTAAAGACATTTAGTTAATTTCACTTTAGCAAGAGTGACAGCAGTTTCTCAGAGATTAATGGATATTTATTACAAACTCATTGATGCACATGGCAGGCTACGGTATGGGCAAGAGTTTTAGCCTGCTGATAAATTCAAAATATTTTGAGAAGCACGCTTTCTGTTCTGTTAGGGAAGTTTCTCACTCTCATACATAAGGCCACAGTTTCTCCAGTCTATTTCTCTCTAATGCTTTTGGTGTTCTGGTGGCTGTGGTAGGCAGACATATGCTACTTGCACGTAAAAACAGGAGGCAGAAACTAAGTTATTCATCTTCCTTCTAAAGTTCTTGGTCTTTACAACTTGACTATAGTTGAGCTTCGGTTCAGCAACTTGATACGGAAAGGTTGTTTATGTTGCAGTTTATCACTGTCTCTCCCAGGCAGCAGCTTTTCTTATCAGTGTTTCCATTAACACACTGTGCTCTGCAAAAAAAAGAGAAAAAAAAAGGAGTGTCCTCTATTTTCATACACAAAAAAACATCCTCTCCTTAGATTTCCTTCCACAGGAAACACATATCCATGTATACCCTTATTTGCATATTAAATAGACAAGATAAAACTCTTTCTACCCTACTTAGGTGAGTCAAACATTGAAAATCAGTTGAGAGCAAACATACTCATTCACTGATCTCTCAGGGGTAACAGCTACAATTCACAAGTGTCAGCAGGCAGAGAGTAAACAAACTGGCTTTGTCTTGCACTCTGCAAGCTCACAAATTTAACAGAGACTCCTGGGAATGCAGTATTAAAATTCTAAAAAGCCAACCCTCAGTCTACCTTTCAGTGTTAGGAGTATAAAGAAAAAAACAAACAAACCAGAGATACAAATTATATTGTACAATCATTTAGGTTGGAAAAGAGCTTAAAATCGAGTCTGCCTACTCACATTATTGGGCTGTCTGGTGTCCTCCGTCTGGGAGATCCTTGTTGGTCTATCTAGAATGGGTTTCTTCTGCTCTTCTTTGGGGCTCATGCTGCCCAGTATTTGTTTCCTGGCCTCCGTGTACTCTGCCTCCCTTTGTGCCAAGGATTTCAAGGGCAAGGCTGGGATGCTGCCGGGCAGAAAAGGACCTGGGGGTGTTGGTCAACTGTCGGCTGAACATGAGCCAGCAGTGTGCCCAGGTGGCCAAGAAAGCCAACAGCATCCTGGCCTGTATCAGGAACAGTGTGGTGAGTAGGGCCCGAGAGGTGATTGTCCCCCTGTACTGGGCACTGGTGAGGCCTCACCTTGAGTACTGTGTCCAGTTTTGGGCCCCCTACCATAAAAAAGACATTGAGGTGCTGGAGCAGGTCCAGAGAAGGGCGACAAAGATGGTGAGGGGTCTGGAGAATAAGTCTTATGAGGAGAGGCTGAAGGAGCTGGGGTTATTCAGCCTGGAGAAGAGGAGGCTGAGGGGAGACCTTCTTGCTCTCTACAACTCCCTGAAAGGAGGGTGTAGAGAGATGGGGGTCGGTCTCTTTTCTCAAGTCACAGGCGACAGGACAAGAGGAAATGGCCTCAAGTTGCGCCAGGGGAGGTTCAGGCTGGATATTAGGAAAAATTTTTTCACTGAAAGGGTTTAGTTGTGGACTATATACTAACCTAGAAGATTCTGGGATTCTGTGAGTTGGGATTACTGAGCATGCAGTTCGCCATTCGTTGTCAGCCTCTCTAAGATCTGGATCTGTGGGGGAGAACCCGAAGGAAGACTGGCATCCTGAATCACGATTGGCACTTTAGGAGGAGATTTTGACTTTCTGCTTTCCTTCAGTGTGATCTTCAGCTTCTTTTCCAACTGTTTGCCACCTCCTCCCGACTCTTGGCAGCTTCCTCTGAAAGAGTGCGCCATGGCTTGGCTGAAGAAGGAGACATTTCTCCCCTACTGCAGGAGGGACTCAGCCCTTCAGCAGCCATAAGGGTCACCCAGAGCTCAAGCTGCCTTCCTGGCAGCCACAGCCTCAGGGGAGGCAGGAGGTAACAGTGGGCCTGGGGTGGTAATTGTGGCACTGGTTGGGGGATGAAACCATGGTTTGGGGCAGACACTTCTCCAGGGATGTGGGTGTTGGGAATCTGTGCTGGGTCTGTGTCCCCCTCCTGGCTATGAGGGAAGAAATGACACCCCCACCGCCCTCTCTGGGGGCAATAAATCCTCCTGAGGGGGTAACAGTGGTTGGGGGTGCAGTTCTGGCTGGGCCCTGTGGGACCAGTGTCCCCATGGGTGCCTGGCCTGGGGCAAGTGAGGCTGGGGGCAGATGGAGGCTGTAGGGCAGATTGGGCTCTGGAGGGACAAATGTTTTTTGTGTGGGTTTTTTTTTCTTTTAGGCTAATCTCTCATTTTTGAAGGAAATCAACACATTTGGATTTATGGACACTGGGTTTTAAAGGCAGAAGTGTATAGATGTAGCAACAGAACAGTTCTAGATACCTAGATCAGAGAATGTGTGCAATACACATTTGTGTTTATGTAGGTATGACTGTATATGTGTATATATGAATATGTATAGATATACTTAGTGTATGTATATGAACATCAAAGCACTTGGTGATGGGAGGGTAACATTTCCTGACGTATGTTTTTGCACTTACCTAATTTTGTTTCTTATAGCTAAAGCAAGATAAAGATCTTCTAACTCAGCAACATGAAATGTAAGCAATTGGAACTGTGTAACTACCAGCAAAAAAACCTATTGTTGACCCTATAAAAGATTTTAATTCATTTTGTTTTGATAGCTATCCGAGCAACCCAAGGAGAGTCTGCATTAATTGACTGATCCATAATTGACTAAAGGATGTGAGTGAGTGCCTCTGATGTTAAGTTGTGGACTATATGAAACATACAACAGTTACACAAAATAAGTAAGGAAAATTGATCTCATTTCCCCACACTGTTTAATCGTTTGGTAATTTTGATATAGATTTAGACTCTATTCTTGCTTTTTCATAATGCTTTGCACAAGAAAGAGAGAGAAAGGATAAAAGTCTTAGCGATAAGACCTCTGTAAAACATACTTTGTCAAGCAAATTTATATTATATACACAGTGAAGTGATAGCTTATGTGAAACAGTATTATCTCTACTTCTAGGTCTCTGCAGGTTTTCAGAAGATCGATATAATCCTTATCAGCTTTTGCATAAAAATGACTTATTTTTTCCAGCCCCATTTCATATAAAATTCTACCCTGAGATACTTAGCAGTGTCAAATTGGCCCCTTCTCTCATATTCTTCCATCAAATCTGAGCCAATTAAATTATCAAATTCGCATTTCTCAGAAGGAAGCGGCATCCTTGATACCTATCCTGTTCCAGCCTTCACTCCAAAAAGGAGGGGATGCTCCTGTCATTTTACTGACCATTTACTGAGCTGAGCCCACCAATTTAGCAATGCTGTTTGAAGCCTGACGCTCGATTCAGTTGTTACAGGACAGGGCCAAGAATGCCACAAACAGCCCAGTCACCCTTTCTGAACGCACAGAAAGGATCAGCACATATCCCTTTGCACGTTTGCAGTCTATATGTAGTCATACATAGTAAAACTTGGCTGAAAGACAGCAAAAAATTAAATTTATTAGAAGTTTAAGCAGGAAAGGAAACCTTATTCCCATCAAGAACCTAACAGCTCGAAAAGTCGGAGCCAAGTGAGAGACAGGGACATTGTTCCTCATCACACAGGACATGTTGACAGGTAGCAAAAGGATTTTATTTGTGGATGGTGCTATGCAGATGTCTTCAGCTACGTCTTGCAAACTAGAGATCACAGCTCTTAAAAGGGTGTAGCTACACAAGAGTTGCTGCTCTTTTTAAACATTTGGAATCTCAGCAGAAAGGATTTTTCACTTGTAATTATATGATAGTTATGCATTTATATACCACAGGAATTCTTCAGGGTGTTGTTTTCAAATGGTTCTCAACTACTGAATTGTGTCTAATTCACAAAATTGTTAATAATGCTCTTTATCATTCAAGCTGTCTCATTCCCTTCTATTGCTCCTCTGGATGCATATTTTAGGAAAGTTACACAAGTCTTCTTTTGTCACTAATTCCTCATAAGTCTTTCTATTTTTGTTATTATGATATCTTATTAAGGTATAAATGCTCTAAAAAGTAGCCACATTCATAAATAAATCATGCAAAAGTAACAAGGAAATTAAGCCCTGAATTGTAAATCTGCAACATACAAAAGACCATACCAAATCTCATTAAAATATAGCACTAATATATAAAAATAACAAGTAATAGTTTGATTTCTACAAAAAGAATGCTGGTAATTTTTAAAATCTCAGTAGACAGGATATCACTTCTAATTAAAATGTATTTGTATGGTTATGCATTTATACACTAGCTCATTAAAATGTCAAAATACTTTATAGTTGTTCATTAGGAATCCAGGACTAAATTCCATTCTGTCTCTGTTCTGAGTGACTATGGGTAGTGTAGATCTCAATTAATTCTCTGTAAAATAGAATAATACTGTTTTTTTGAGGCAGATAAAGGTGAAAGAATTTGCAAATTCCGTCTGTAACTGTTAATTTAACAAAAAGGCCATGGCCACATTTTCTTAAAAACTCTAGAAACAACATTTCTTTGTGTTTTTTCCCACTTAATAGAGCTGAAAATAAGCTATTGCTTCAGTTGCAACCATTGTCAGATGCTTATCGATTTGTTCTGTCAGAAATAACTTGTAAACTCATTTCTGTACTATTGAACCCCCAAATATGGGAAAATAACAACCACATTATAAAATAGATTCTCTATATTCTGTTCTTGATTATGTGGACAGTGTGTCTATTTAGGGCTGTGTCACTGTTTAATTAGAATATTTGAACTGTGCTGAACATCTTTAATGCACCGGACTTAACTTCTCCACAGTTTGTATCTAACCACTCAAAAAGAGAAATGCTTCCCATAAAGTTCAAGTATTGATTAATTACCTGTTGAAGGTGAATTTGACTCCATTTTACCTCTGGCATATGATGTTTAGCACCAGCCCTATGGTTTTAAGGGTATCAAAACCTCCCTAGAGAAAAGTCACCGCAGGAGCTATTCCTAAGTATTTCCTTCCAGTGCTAGTAGTTCTAAAGCTGTAAGAAGTCACTCACTTTTTTGGGTTTTAGAGCTTACTCCAGCAGTAAGATCAACCTTACTAGGCTAGTGTGCTCAAACATACACTGTAAAGACCTGAGACAAGATCCCTGGGATCATGCTAGTGCCTAAGCTGCAGGAGAAAAAGACCACAGCGGGATCAGTTACAAATTCTCTTTAAAGTTTCATTTTTATCTTGGAAATTCTGATTTAACAAGAATGATACAAACATACAAAAAGTTGCTGGGACCGTGTCTTCCACACAAGTTGCACACTAGTCTATTCCAAAATTGATCTTATCAATATGTTTTCCCAGCATTCCTGCTCCCAAATTTGGTGGTTTTATTCTGAACTCTATACTTTCTTCCCATTAGTTCTGGAGGAAGGCTTAATCATCTCCTAAATAGGAATTCTTCTTCAAGCCTGTTTTCAGACCTCTCCAGACAGGCCCAGTAGTTCTCTGGTTTCTGACACAGGCAGAAGGACTGGTTGTGGGAGATGCCTGTTCAGAGCACAGGCTGGACGACCTTGGCTTTCCATTATCCTTCAGAGAAGGTTAAATGGAACTCCCTCTATCAAGCCAAATATTTATATGTGAGCTCCGTAGAGGTCAGGTTGTGGAAATTAATACACGTGGTCTTTATAGCTCCAATTAAGTGTGCAACTGGATTCCTTTATCACCATCTGCCCAGCAATATTACACTTCAGCTCCCCGTAGTGGATAATGCAAGAGAGGCCTGGCATTGATTTTTTTTCTTGGTGGACTTTAAAAGAAGTGATTTTTTTCTTTTTTTCCCCCAATATCTGGATGCTTTACACCTTCAGGATTTTTATCATGCCTCACAGGATATTAAGACATAAGGATTTAAGTATGCTAAGAAAGAAAGTTTCATTAAGTGTTTTAGCTTGAGAGTTTATTATACAGCAAAAAAAATATTTCCATTATCAGTGTATTCACTTTTCTCATATACATACAGAAGCTTTCTTTACATCAAATTCTCATATTTTTCTAGACTGTATATTAATGTCTGATTTTTCAGATGGCCAACTGAACTTCCTTCAGTCGTACTTGAATATTACTCAAGGTTAAGTTGTCCAGACTTCTGGTAGTTCTTTATGTTCTCCACAGAGATCTCTCTAATTGAAAGGAGGTGCCCTGAACCAAGAACTGTTCTTTACTGAAAGCCTCTTTGAGCTCAGTGAAGTGGAAGAATTATTTTGCTGCTCTTGTGTTTGCCAGTCAATTTCTGTATTTCAATAAAGCAGTCACATTTTTTGTGACACCAAATCACTGTTGGCTCATTTTCTATTTGTGAACTGCTATGAACCAAGACTTCTTTCTGTAAAGTAACTGCTTAGCCATTTTGTCTCCATCTTACTTTTTTGGAGTCAGTTATTCCCAGCTATACGTAACAGTTTCTTGCCTTATTGAATTACATCCTATTTACTTCACATCTTTGTTCCAACTTGTCATGATTTGTCCAATTCTAATTATATTTTCCAAAATGCTTGCAGCTCTCACCCGAACAGGATATCCTCCACAAATATGATAAAACTATTCTCTATCCTGTTGTATCACAGAAGCAGTCCAGGACCTGGGATGGAAGTATCTGAAGATCTCACTTGCTACAAACTCCTTATTTGATTGTGAATCACTTGACACTACTTCCGAGTGCCATTTTCTAATGATTTCACCTAGGTTTGGTGTAATTAATGCTTCTCTATCTTTTTTAGGAGCGTGTTAGATGATACATCATCAGAAACCTTGCTGAAGTCAAGATTCCATGATTTGGTTTTGAGATGTTATTGTTGATTATTATTAATCTTATCATCCAAGGCCTTAAAAATAATTTACTTAATAATTTGTTCCAGTATTTTGCTTGATAGAAAGTAAATCTGACTGGCTTCTGACTGCCATTCTTTCTTTTTTAAGGTAGGCATCATTTTCTTTTTCCTGATCTCATGGAACCTCAGTTCTTGAAGGTAATTGCAAATAGCTTTGAGATTGCTTAGCCATTTCGCTAAATATATTGGCTGAAACTTCTCTGGTACGTGACTTCTGTAACCATCTTACTTGAATAGATTCTATTTCTTTCTTTAGTTTAGTTTGAGCATTGGTTTTTTATGTTGCTAATGTTTACCGTGAAAGCCATCCGAGTACAGCTGATGTTTTGGAGAAGAACAAAGCAAAAAAAATGAGGCTTTGGTCTTCCTGACGTGACTTGGTAATAGTTTCCTCACCCACCTGAGGGCAAGTCAGTTCTTCCCTGGTTATCTTTCACGTAAGCTTTTTGTTGTTATGCTACATGGCCCTTTGATAGTTTTAGCTCTTTTGCATGTTAACCTTTCTGGATTTTCCCTACTATTACAATAAACGCTTTGTTGTCAGTTTTAATAATTTAACCTAGATTCTGGTTTTTTCACAAGGTACAAGCCATGGAAATGGTTTAGATTTAGCCAGACTCTTCTGTTACTGGCTTGCTTTCTCATTGACATGGCCTGCTTGTAGCCTTCATGTTCATTCCATAGGAAACAGCAAGCTTTCCAGAGCGTACTTTTTGTTAGATTTGCTATTCAAACTGTTAGATTTGACATTCAAACTGTGAATTAACTAAAACTTATTTTCTTCAAAGTGCGTTGGTTTGCTTTTCCTTCCCTTCCCTTTTGAAGAGTCATTAACGTGTGAATTAACTAAAACTTATTTTCTTCAAATTGTGTTGGTTTGATTTTCCTTCCCTCCCCTTTTAACAACTAAAACTTATTTTCTTCAAAGTGCGTTGGTTTGCTTTTCCTTCCCTTCCCTTTTGAAGAGTCATTAACGTACCACTGTCACTCATATAGTCTCCCAAATTCCTTTCTGAGTAGGTATGTTGTTATTTCAAGTCTCATTATCACCAGTTCCTATGCTTTGGATGATATTATTCAAATTAAAGTACCATGCACTTAATCTTTTTCGTTTGTGGGTTGCTAATGGGTCTTTGCTGTGACATAGTTCTTTACCTTTCTTTTTTGCCTTTATCCAAGTATTTTCACTAGTTCTGTACCTTATGTTCCTTTTCTCCTACCTGTGCTTCCTGAACAAATTCTACCCTTCCATAACTAGTTATTACAATTAAGAATCATAGAATGGTTAAGAGTTGGAAGGGACCTTAAAGATCAAGTTTCAACCCTCCTGCCATGGGCAGGGACACCTCCCACCATTTATTCATATTTTTGGTTATGAATGTAATGACTTTCAGTTCCTCCTGCTTATTACCCATATTCTTACATAAGTGTGCAGTGTCTGAGTACAATGCTACGAAACCTGTTTTCTTACTGTTCCTTTATTGCAATATTCAGTAAAACATTTGTCTCCTTAATTTTTCTTCTTTTCCTCCGCTTTTGTGGTTTATGTGAACCCTGTGGTGTGATAAAAATAATCTGAAGATAATTGAATTTACACCAGCTGCAGACAACTAGGAAATAGACGTAACAACAACGAAGTGGGTGACTGGCACAGCATAGGACTGGCCAAGTAGCCCTGCTTTGCTTTTCTCTGGGAAATGCTCTCCTTGCCAGCTTTGAGACTGGTTCATTACAGCATAGCAAGGCCAGAAGACCACAAACAAGCATGAAGAAGAATTAAACACTTTGGACGTACCAACTTTCAGTAGCTGTACTCTTACAGTGCATTAAAAGAATCTCTAAAATCAGACTTGGGTGTTATTGCAGCTACAAGTAGTTGTGCTTCAACCTTTATGCCCAAGTTTCCCAGCAGGGAGCTGGGATGGGAGGGAAGGCTGGAAGTGCTGCCCACGGACTCCTTGCCTTCCAACACCTGTGTCACTTGGAAGCTGTGGGAGCAGACCTGCTGTCCCCGTTAGGAGCCCACTGTCCCCAGTGACGAAGAAATGATCGGAATCACAGAATCACAGAATCTTCTAGGTTGGAAGGGACCTTAAAGATCATCTTGTCCAACCGTCAACCTAACTGACAAAAATAGTCACCCACACAACAAACAAGGAGCATCATCACTAAAATGTACAATGTACGAGCAGGGCCCACTTGGGGAGTCTGGCCATCCCGGGGTGACTGGATGCAGCCCCACTGCCTTTCACGTAAATAGAATAATGGCGTTATTCTATGTATGGCTGTGGCCTCGTGTTCTCTAAGGTTGTGCTGATCCCCATCTGAAATGGAGGCACACAGGCAAGCTGTGTAAATTACGTGGTCAATTTAAATGTAATTTGTTTCACAAGGCAAAAAAAGAGAGAGAGAAAAGAAACCAACAGGACAATCTTTCATTATTTACACACGCTTTATTTAAACATAAACAATGCTGATATTTATTTGAACATACACGTGTAGTTACTATTTAAATATTTAACCATGCAAACCCCCTGCTGATAAGCAAGCTCCATCTACTGCGCAGTGAAGCGGGGCCACAAAACCAAAAGGCAAACTATTTTTTTTTTTTTTTTTTTTTGGTAAAGAATACCGTGACTTAAAGGTTTCTCCCCCCGTTCTTCAGCTGCGCTGAAGAGTTTTGATAGGTATAAGCTCCAGCCTCTCTGGTTTTTCAGAGGGCCGAGGGGAAAGGCTTCTCCGCGGGGCGACGCTGAAGCGGCCCCAGGCCGGGCAGGCCTAACCCGGGGCAGAACTCTCACCCACCAAGTTTCCCCTCAGCCTCCACATTCACCCGCGCGCCCCCCATCCCGACGGCGGCGGTTGGGGCGACGGTTTAACGGCAGCTCGCGCGCCGCCCGGTGCCGGCGCTCGCGCCCTGTCAGCGGGGGTGGGGAGAGGGAGAGGAAGGGTTGCGCGCGCGCGCGCGCCCACCCGCCCCGTGTCACGGGGTGACAGTGCCCGGGGACCCGAGGTGGCTTCCTTCCTCCCCGGGCCCTGCCGGCACGGCCGCCGCCTCCGGGCCGGCTGCGCGGCCCCGGGAGCTGCCGGCCGCCCGCCCCGACTCTCCTGCCGGCGGCAGCGGAGGAAGGGGGAGGCAGGAGGTGCGTGGCCGGTCGGGGGATGGTGCCGCTTCTTCGTGTTTTCTTGTGTTTGTAGGGGGGAGTTCCCTGTTCGCGGCCGGGCGCCGGGGTAATACCGCTTCGGGAGGCGCGGAGCTGGAGGAAAGTGGGGAATTTCTTTTTAAAAAAAGTTGTTGACAGTGCCCGGTGACCCGAGGTGGCTTCCTTCCTCCCCGGGCCCTGCCGGCACGGCCGCCGCCTCCGGGCCGGCTGCGCGGCCCCGGGAGCTGCCGGCCGCCCGCCCCGGCTCTCCTGCCGGCGGCAGCGGAGGAAGGGGGAGGCAGGAGGTGCGTGGCCGGTCGGGGGATGGTGCCGCTTCTTGGTGTTTTCTTGTGTTTGTGGGGGGGAGTCCCCTGTGCGCGGCCGGGCGCCGGGGTAGTGCCGCTTCGGGAGGCGCGGAGCTGGAGGAAAGAGGGGAATTTTTTTTTTAAAAAAAGTTGTTTTCTTGGTGAGGGAAGGGAGAGGGTTGTGGAAACGTTCATCTCCCTTCCTCCTCCTCCGTAGGAAAAGTGAAGTCACTTCCCAAGAGCCAAAACTAGCAAACTACTGTCCTAAATCTGTGCCGTTTACATGGCTCAGATTCATCCACGGTTTGTTTATTGTGGATTTTTTTTTTTCCCTCTTTTTATTTTTTTTTTTTTTTTTAATTCTGCTTCCCCAGTTAGGCCCTCCCTAACTGTGATCCTGGTACAAAAATCCTTGTCTTTAGACGGAGTACTTCAAAACTTGCTGCAACCATCTGAAGTGGGTACGGCACTCTGAATGAAATGGACTTGGCAGCTCTGCTCATTTCTGAGCTTCTGAAGTGTGGCGTGTACTTTGCTCTTTTCTGTCACTCTTTCAAAGCCCGTGCTGTTAAGATTGCTTGTTTTTGATAGCATTGTAAATAAATCATAACTTATCACATCTCATAGCTGCATGCATGTATGCATCCGTTCTTCTGTGTAAGAGGGGAAAAAAAAGATTTAAAGTGTCAGCTCTTTGTGGAAACAGAAACAAATCCAGCCACAAATAAGAAATAACTTGCCTAGTTAAGTGTTGCTTTTCTCTCTCGCTGTCGGGCTGTAGTCTCACAACCACGTTGGTGACTTTTCAAACAAAACTTTGGAGAAGGGCAGCTGTCCTTTCTGTCTCCAAAGAGAAATCTTGGTGATGTTACAAGCAATGTTTTCTTATCCCTTTAAATTTAGGAAAGGCGCCGAGGCTTTATTTTGCTGAATCTCTGTGATACAGGCCAAAAACCTGAGTGCCTGTAAGATTGGCTCATGCTCCAGATCTCGGGAAGACTTAATGGGGGTATAAGATCAGTTCTGCAAGTTGTGCCCCTGTCTAGGTTTTAAGTAGGATTGTAGCCAATTCTGTTTGTTTATGTGGGTTATATGGTATTAATGATACTAATTAAGAGGTTAGTTTGCAGTTTAAACTTGAGGGGACTACAAATATAGTTACAGTAGGCAGAAATTGACTCTGGTGTTACAAGAATTGAAGCTAAATTGGAGCATTATTGGAAGTACTCGGCACTGTTTTCTTTAAGATGGCTACAGCGAAAGGTATTGCTTGGTTAAAAGTAGCATTCAGTCCTTTAGAGAGTGATGCCCAGATTAAGATTCAGCAATGTTAGTAAGGGGATTGCAAAAAGGGCCAGGGCATGATGTGGCTTTCTGTGGAAACCAAGTTCCAGGTGCATACTCTCTAGCGTTTGAAAATAATGTGAATAGTGGATGCTCCTTCCCTTGTGTCATCAGTGGGACTTCCACAGCCAGGAAGTGAGTTAAGAGAACAAATCTGGTTAAAAAGTAGTACTTTTACTTCTTTTTTTTTTTTTTTTTCCTCCCCAAGTTACTTTTTTGGTTAGAACAACCTCCTGAACCAGCTCACTTGCCTGGTCATATGGACATTGTCTCAGACCAGAGGAGGAAGAAGTGTGTTGGTAGGAAAGAGGGGACAACTGCACTCTTGATACAGTCACGTAAGTTGTGATGGGTGATGCATTTATCTGGGTCATGGTTTTATGGTCAGTACGTTAATGTAAGAAGGCACAACTGTTGAAAGAAGCTACTCTGGGTTTTTCATTGGTTTATGTCACTTGTGGTGAAGGTAGCAAATGATAGTAAGGGTGGTAGGAGCTCTTATTTTTCTGTCAGTACTGGCTTACATTGATTATGAAGCTGTAGTATCATTTGGTTTTGGTTTTTTTATTTACTTTTGGCAACATTAAACAAACTATTGCTTTTTAAGAGCCATCTCTGTGTCTATATTTTTCTTCCATGTGTCCACAGAAGTAGCTGTGGTTTTCTTCTGCTCTCTCCTTTGCATATGCTTTCTTCTCTGTAAACTTTTTGTTGATTCGTTAATTTCAAGGAACAGTCTGGGCACTGTTAGATAGGGGCTTTTGTAAATTTATTCAGCTCTGATTTAAAAATGATCAGTTGTATATTGTTATTACCTATATTGTTGTATTTTTGTATTTTTGTATTACCTGTATTGTTGTATATTGTTATTACAATTTATTCAGCTCTGATTTAAAAATGATCATTTGTATATTGTTATTACCTCTACTATATTAGGAAGGCTATTTCAAACTTGACTGATCTTAGTAATTACACATCTTCTGATTTCCAGACTGGATTAATCTGTCATTGGATTATATCTGTTTTATGTACCCAATGGACTGATACGTTATATTGGCATTTTTGATCTTGGTATCAAAAGCAGCATCACTCTTAAACAAATGCATGCAGAAGTATGTCGCAGTGCAACACTGAATGTTTGTTTTCTCTTTTGACCACTAGCCATACTAATCTTTCTGTAATAGCTCTCAGTTTCTCCCCATGAATTTTAATCCCTACCTTCTAAGTGAAAATTAAAATGCTCATTTCAGGTGTTCACACTGAGCTTCATAAAGGTGTCCTGTTAATGGAGATTAGGATGTTTTCAAGTATATTTTCATAAAATGCATTTTTTGAAATTCATGCCCTTGGCAATTTGTTAATGGAGATTAGGATGTTTTCAAGTATATTTTCATAAAATGCATTTTTTTGAAATTCATACCATTGGCAATTAGTCCCAGCCTCAATCTTACTCTGTTATACTGGTACAGCTATTAAAGGAGCCATTATTATAACCCAGATTGCTGAGGGGATTCTTTCTTCAACTGAGTCCTGTCTCTAAGGCATAAGCAAAAGCCTGATGTATTTGAAAAGAGCTTGAAATTTATTTATTTCACCTTTTCCTGTATTCTTAACTTTAAAAAGAATCAAAATCAGTGTGGAGATTACTAGAAAATGCTTCTGTTGTTTTTAAGTCGTTTATTTGATTTTGATATCAGAAATGTTCCAAGAGGGGACTTCGTGAAACTGAAGGAGAAAAAGTAGCTTATTGCATGTGTCTGTTTGTAAAAAGTAAATAAATAAATAGTTTTCCAAAACCTGCTTAGTTAAATAGATTACTCTGAAAGACAAGTAAGACACTTGTGGAGAACCTCTGTTTTTTTGGTGGAATGTTTCTTTTTTTCTTTGGAAAGAATAGCAGGGACAAAGGTCGTTCTAACGGTCTTTAAGTGGACAGAGGGAAAAATGGTTTTAGCTGTGAAGTACTTCAAACACAGTCTCACAGGTGCTGAAGAAGGGGGATGAATCACTCACCCACACCTGCTGCCTGGGCTCCTGCTAACAGATCCCAGGGTGTGCTTGGCCGCCTTTGCTGTGAGGGTACGCTGCTGACTTGGTTTCAGCTTTGCCTGCTGGGATCTTCAGGTCCTTTTCTGCAAAAGTAACTTTTTATCCGGATAGTGTCCAGGCTGTCTTGTCACTCGGGGTTATTCTGTTGCAGATACAGGACTTCGCTCTTGTCTGTGTTGAACTTCATGAAGTTCCTTTCTCCAGCCTGTCCAGGTCCCTCTGAGTAGGAGTCCTGCCTTGCAGAACACTGACCACTTTTCCCAGTTTGGCAAACTTGCTGAGGATACACCCTGTCCTGTCACCCGGGTTATTGGTAAAGACATCAAGTGGTACTAGTTTGAGTGGTAATCCCCAAGGGCTGTGACTGTAACCACTTGTTACCAGACTTTGTACTGCTGGTTGCTGTTCTTTGAGCCCAGCTGTCCAGTCAGTTTCCCAGACACCTTATTGCTTACTTAACCAGTGCCTGTCTCACCAGTTTGGCTGTAACGATACTGTGGGAGGGTGTCATTAATGGCCTTCTATTCAGTGCTCTTCCATCAACTTCTAAGACAGTTGTTCCTTGCAGTAAGGTACTGTGTTTGTCAGGCATCATTTGCCCTTGGTAAAGCTGTGCTAGCTATTCCTGATCACCTTCTTGGGCAGAGGAATGTCTTCATTGAGGATTTGCTCCTTTTGTTAGGCTGGCTGATCTGTAATTACCTGCATCCTCCTCCTTGCTCTTCTTGAAGTTGGGTGTGATGTTTGCCTTTTTTCCCATAATTAGGAACCTTCCTCAGTCTCATGGCCTTTCAAAAACTGGTAGAGTGTGGCCTATCAGTGGTACTGGCTGGGTCCCTCAAGTATCTCAGATGCATCCCATCTGGTTCTGTGGACTTGTGTGTTTCCAATTCCCTTAAGTACTTCCAAACTCCATCTTTCTTATTTGGAGGTAATTCTTTATTCCAGCAGACTCTGCTACTAGGTTCAGGGAAGTTTGAAGGGCAGACCTTAACAATGAAAACTGGGGTAAAAAAGACGTGGAGTTTGTCAACCTTTTCCATAACCTTTGTTACTATGTCCTTGTCCTGCCAAACAGAGGGAGCACCACTTCTTCAACCTTCCTTTTGCTGCTGACACGGGAGTTTTCCCTTGTTGCCCTTCATCCCTTGTTGCCCTTCATCCCTTGTTGCCCTTCATCCCTTGTTGCCCTTCATCCCTTGTTGCCCTTCATCCCTTGTTGCCCTTCATCCCTTGTCAGTTTCAGCTCCACCTGGGTGTTGATTTTTTCCCTAGTGTTCTGCTTGCATGCACAGGCTGTGTCTCTGTGTCCTTTGGTAGCCTCTCCTTGCTTTTACCTTCTGTGTGCTTCTGAAGCAGAGATCAAAACTGTTTCATTTTACCCTTTCATATCAAGAAATGTGTAAAACTTTGAGAAAAAAAATTTTTTTGAAGTCATGGTTAATAAATGATTCTAACCTCGTCCTGAAATGTTTGAATGAAAGATGTTGACCTTCATCCCTTGTTGCCCTTCATCCCTTGTCAGTTTCAGCTCCACCTGGGTGTTGATTTTTTCCCTAGTGTTCTGCTTGCATGCACAGGCTGTGTCTCTGTGTCCTTTGGTAGCCTCTCCTTGCTTTTACCTTCTGTGTGCTTCTGAAGCAGAGATCAAAACTGTTTCATTTTACCCTTTCATATCAAGAAATGTGTAAAACTTTGAGAAAAAAAATTTTTTTGAAGTCATGGTTAATAAATGATTCTAACCTCGTCCTGAAATGTTTGAATGAAAGATGTTGATTCCTCCTAAGCAAGCAGTAAACGTTACCAAGCTCTTGTGATAAGGGATGGGGTCCTGTCTAAAATGTAGAGTCCAGTTTGTACTGTGGTGCCAAGGAGACAAACCAAT